CCATTTTTAATATCCTTAACTAGTCACCCTAAGAAATTAGGAGTCCAAAAGTTCTATCTTTAACATTTTGGACTCCTAATACTCAATCACTCCAAATGGTCTAATATACGTAGATACTCCACTAATAAATAAAGTTGTGTTGTTTAAGAAAACTTTCATGCAGTTTTAAGGATTATGGTATAAAATATACTTCCTCCGTTCTTAAATAAGTGCAACAGTCAACATTTCACGTTTGCCGAGGCACAACTTTGACCATTAATATATATCATTCTTTATCATAAAAAAATTTAAAAAGACCAATTTATGAAAATTTACACTGAGACAAATTTAATAATATATTTTTCAAAAATATATATTAATACATCAATAAATAAAATGTAGTCAAAGTATAACATGTGAATAGTGTAAAATTTCGCATGTTGCACTTATTTAAGAACGAAGGTAGTAGTAATATACGCCGTATAATACAATAATAAAAATGGTACCTAAGAGAAAATCAAAGACTAATATTCTATGTATGAGTAAAATATAGCACAATCTTTCAAACATGAGCCCATTATTTTTGTTGCTAAAATAAAATTATTTTTTTCTACTTTAGTACTTTGAGAGGTTTTACTTATTTTATTCTTTTAATAAGACTATATATTTATTTATTTAGTTATTTATTTTCGCAAGGCTTCCTAACCTATTATAGTATATGTCCTATGTTAAGGTCATTATCCTTGAACAAGGATGTGATTCAAACTTATGACTTTCTCTTAAGAAGTGTCACAATGATATCATCAGATGACCACAAGGTACTTGACTTTTAAGAAGACTATATATGTCTTATTTTGGTAAGAAAGCATATTAATTAGTCATATTTTAGAACTGAGTTTTTTTCAAAATTACTGCTAAACAATAAATTATTTACATAAATATGGTTAAAAATATATACCAAACTAGGGTTAGGAAAATTAATGAAAGCCGCCGTAAGTAGCAACCGCACACAGTAAGCTTGTGAAAGTGGGACCCCCAATTTAAAAAAATCTCCCTATTTTTTAAATTGATATAACTTTTTTATTTATAATCTGATTTCTATAAAAAAAATATTTCAAAATTCATGATTTTTCATTCTCTTTCATGTGACACCAATATTGCATATATAAAAATAAAAATAAATTTGAAGGCATAATTCGTGTATGATTTTAGGTTCAATTTTTTTATGAGTGAATCAAACTATCAAAGTTCTAAAATTAAGATTTCAACAAAACTTTATGCTACAACTATGGGACATTTAATTTTATTGATTTATTAAAAGTATCACGAGGGAATGCTTGTAATAGTTATTTATTTTGTTGATTCAATTTATTTGAGTTGTTGTTTGAAATAATTTTTTAGCACATGCGCTAAAATAAAATGTTTTAACCAATAAATAAAATGTCTTCTAAGTGCAGCATGAAATTGCATTATACAGTCAGATCTTAATTTTAGAACTTGGATCACTTAAGAAAATTTTTGAACTTAAAAGTCTCTATCAATTGTAGTTTCATGTTTATATACAATAATAATGTCATATGAAATATAATAAAAAAAAATCATACTCCCTCCGTCCCGTTGTAATGTTCCCGTTCACTATTCATTGGTCAACTTAGGTCACTCCTAATCGTTTACTTTATATATCAAATTTTTATCAAATTGAACTTTTCTTGATCAGACTTTATAGCGGTTTTAATGTAGTTTCTGAATATGTAAATTTTATTTACTAAAAATAAGCGGAGTGTGAACAGGGATCGAGTTGCTTTATCGTCAGTCAAGCATCGTAAACCGAACGGGAACATTCCAACGGGACGGAGGTAGTATGATTTTTTTTTTGTAAAAATCAAAATACTACTGTACTAGTCATAGCAAAGTAGAAGAAAAGATTCTTTTTTTTATTGTGGGTCCCATCCATCCTTCCAACTTATTAGCCGATGCTGCTATCCTTCGTATTTCGAATTTTAAACGTAAGTCGTTAATTGAGTTTACGCCTTTTCAAACAACTCGAATCAACAAAAAATAATTACCACAAGCATTTTCTAGTGACACTTTTAGAAAATAAATAAAATTAAATGTCTCATACTTGTAGCCTAAAGTTGTGCTATAGAATCGTGAAATCTTAGATCCGGTTTGGTCATCCTGATTTTTGGCTTATCAGACTTGTCAGACAACTTTTTTATCAAACACGTAATTTTTTATTTTGCGTGCTGAATTGTGTGATAATAAGAAAAAGTAAGGTCAGAATTACTTTTCTACCTGTATTGGCTAAAGTTACTATAGAGGATTATTTTAGCTATTTTTTCATAACTTTTTCTATAATTTATTAATAAAAATATTTTAAATATAATTTTTTCATAAATCAGCAGAATCAGCCAATACAACCACTTTAGCCAGAACTTCATAATTTCAGCAGAATCAGTCGAGTCAGCCGATATCAGTGTTATCAAATGGGGTCTTAATTTTAGAACCTTGATCCACTCGAGAAAAAATTTAAACCTAAAATCATACATGAATTGTGTTTTGAGAATTATTTTTATTTTTATATACCCAATATTGATCTCATATGAAAGATAATAAAAAATTATGAATTTTGATATATTTTTTATAAAAATCAGATTATAAATCAAGAAGTTATATTTTATCAATTTTATAACATCAATTTTCATTTACAGTAACTTCAGCCATTACAGCTAGAAAAGTAACTCCAACCTTACTTTTTCCGCTTATTACACAATTTAGCGCACGAAAACAATAATTAAATGTTTGGTGAAAAAATTGATTGATAAGTCTGATAAGTGGAAAAAGAGTGGTTCCAAATGGCCTCTTAGTTGCGTGAACAACTTGCAAGCTTGTGATAACGAATGCTTTATTTTATTTTATTATATTATATTTTATTTTATTTTATTTCCCAATGTGAATCTCCGGCAGGCGGCAACCTATTGCGTCTTTATTTTGAATGTTTATTTCAGCAGTCTTGTTATTTGTTGTTGCAATTGTTGCTTTGGTTTGCGTACGAATTTTGTTTTTGCTCTTGCATGATACATGTGGCGTGGGCAAAAAACAAAAGGAGCAATTGAAAAATAATGAGCAGCTGACTCTCTTTTATTTGTCTAATTTTCCTTGAATTCTAAAATCATACCATTTTTTCAAAATGTTAAACATATAATTGTATGATGATGACATATGTGAAACCACATAAATGGGTCTCTTCTGAAAATTCAATGAGAAATGTAATCATATACTTCCACCGTCCCATAAAATAGTTCTCGCATTGACTTGGATCGGAGTTTAAGGAAGTGAGAATAAATAGAAATGTATGGTTGTGATTGTGTAAGCAAAAAGGTAAATGAATGTGAGCCACACAAAACTTTCCAAAAGAGGAAATGAAAACTATTTTCTGGGAAGGCCCAAAAAAAAACCGGGAACTATTTTGCGGAACGGAGGGAGTATGACCTTACTTATCCAGATAGTTTACGATTGAAATCAATTTTTTAGTATTTAGTGTAAAAGATTTTGGTTGATAGGTCTTAGAGACTTAGACTCAGAATTTCTTTAGTACATTTAGCCAATGCAGCCACACATAATTTACAGATAATTCAAGAAACAATTAAAACCATCTCTAATGTACTACTCTTTCGGAATAACTTTAAAATGTTTAAATTTAAGTTGAAGCACTCCTAGGAATACTTTAAGATGAATGTTGTCACAATGCCACTACAACTCAATTCTGGACAGTACAACAATTGGAGTAGTGATATGAGACCATAAAGAAGAGTTTCATACTGCTTCAGCGAGCTTTGTCACAACAGAAAGCAGTAGCATTATGAGTCATATTTAACAATGGATCACAAGGCAATGGACCTTTGTAATGGGGAGGTGAATTGAGTAAAGAAATGTGAAATTTAGATTTACTCAATCCAAAAAGGTGGATTCGTCCATCTGTGGCGCCCCCACACCCAACCCGACAGAAAGATGGAGAAATAAATCACGGTATGATCTCAAACAATTTTTAAATGAGGTGGTTTAGGTCCTGGTGCACATAAGGAGCCAACACATTGGATGATAGATACTCTCACATTGTCGTTGTTAGAAATTAAGCCTAGGACCTAAACCCCAACCTCAACCCAATTGCCTCGCTCAGCCACTGTTGAGATACCCGGTCCCATATTTTAGCACATCTCCGCCTCCGCTCCGCTCAAAACCTTACCCCATCCTTCCCCGATGAGGCGGTTCCCTACGGCTATGGGTACCTGCCTCCATTGCTATCCTTATCTCGAATGTATATTGGTCAATTTTTATCGATTTTGGTTCAATTTATTATCGTTTTTTTATCAATTTTTATCGATTTTGGTTCAATTTATTCAGTTTTGATCAAGGTACTGTATCAAACTAGAATCATTTGCGTTTCAGTTTTCTTTTGGTTTGGGTGTGGTTCATTACGGCGTGGTTTCCAATTCGGATTATCAAAGTGAAAATGATTTGATTCAGTTTAGTTCGATTTGATTCGGTTTCATGTATTCATTGATTTATACATCAAGTACTTTTTTGTTGAGAGTACATCGGTTTCATGTACTGATATACATCAGTACATCAGTACTTTTTTAGAAATTAAAAATGAAAATAGTAGCCCACTGCACCTTGTTGTATTTATTCTTTAAATAAAATGTGAAAGAAAATAAAAGATAGAAAAATAATAAAATACTCCAATAGATTTAGTCGCAACATAACTCCGCCTAGATCAAATCATTTAAGATGACAACTCCGGTACCCTCCTAAAAAATGGGGGTACCGTACCTATCATTCATTTGATTGGACCACATCACTTTATCATTTTTAATTTATATTTAAATAATTCAACTGCTACATTCTCATTGGTCCATTTGGACAAAAGTATGGTACCTTATGGGTACCATAGAATCTACCTAAATTTAAATAGATAAGTTTATTTCAGTTTGTAATTAAAGCATTCACTCATTCGAGTCTATATTTTCTCTTCTGGGTAGAACTGTAGATGGCCATTATATCCTCGACACTGTCAATACTTTTTGCTACACTGCACAATTGTAAAAGCATCTCAACTTAAAAATATACTTCGTATTAAGTTAAACTATAAAGTTTATTTATCAAGATATACTCGTATATTTATGAAATAAAAAATGTAAAATTATCAAGTTTAAACAATGACATCAGTTCCTGCCCATAAATACAATCCTCAAAAGAACTGAAGGGTCCAAGTGCATCTCTTCACTTCACCCCACTATGGGCTTCTCCTTCTCCCTATTCCCCCATTCCGCTATTTGCCTGTCTGTAGTCTTGAGTCTATGTCTATCCAGTGTTGATTCTGTGTACACAGCACCAACCAAGATTGGCCAAGGTTACCGTTTGGTCTCCCTTACAGAGACTTCTGATGGTGCCCTTGTGGGAGAGCTTCTAGTCAACAAGCCAAACACTATCTATGGTCCTGATATTCCTCATTTGAAGCTCTATGTCAAGTAAGTGTTTTTTCCCCAAGATTTCTCCTTTTTCTTATCATTCTTTACCATTCTTGAAGAAAGATTGAGTCTTTTTGTTTTGGGTTTGCAGACACGAGACAGACCAGTCCCTGAGGGTTCACATTACCGATGCGGATAAGCAGAGATGGGAAGTCCCATATGAGCTATTACCTAGAGAAAAGCCTCCATCTTTGAGGCAAATATTTGGTGTTAGCTCAGGAAACAAGCCTTCTCCATTTGGAGTCTCAGAATATTCTGGAGATGAGCTCATCTTTAGCTATATCTCTGATCCTTTTAGCTTTGCTGTCAAAAGAAAATCAAACGGTGATACCCTTTTCAATTCCAGCTCGGATAGATCCGACCCGGGTAACAAATTGGTTTTCAAAGACCAGTACTTGGAGATATCTACCAAATTACCCAAAGATGCCTCACTCTATGGACTTGGGGAGAGCACAAAGCCACATGGAATTAAACTCAACCCATATGATCCTCACACCCTCTATAACACTGACCAGTCAGCCATTAATCTCAATATGGACTTGTATGGGTCCCACCCCATGTACATGGACCTCAGGAATAAGGGTGGAGAGGCATATGCCCATGCTGTCCTCTTGCTGAACAGCAATGGGATGGATGTGCAGTACACTGGGACTTCTTTGACATACAAAGTGATTGGGGGTGTTTTAGACTTTTACTTCTTCTCAGGCCCCACTCCTCTCAATGTTGTTGAGCAGTACACTGCATTTATAGGCAGGCCAGCTGCAATGCCCTACTGGTCCTTTGGTATGCCTTCCTGCTTCACATTATCTTACTGTATATTCTTTCTTTATGTCTAGTAATTATGATATGACTGACTGGTGTAATTTATATTGGTACAACCTTGTTGTTGAAATGGGCCAAGAATATAATTGGACAAGTCTTGAACCTACTTTAGTTAGATACCACAATAATTTGGAATGATTTGGCAAAGATTTTTGTTTATCCTCTCATAGTGACTGAAAGCATGTGAAAATTGTTTAGCACATTCTTCATGACTCATGAGTCATGACAAGAGTCTAATTGCAAAACGAGTATGAAAAGATTTCACAGTTAGCATAAATCCTGGCATGATTATGTCCTAATTAGGTGTTAGTCATTAAAAATATTAGTGATTCACTAACATTGTGATCTTATAAAGATCTTAGTCAATTAAATTAAATATATATGTCAGTCAATTAAAGATGTTAATCAATTAAATATCCAAACTAAACAACACTTTTTTATCAGATGAAGGTGTTAGTCTTTCACTCATTTGAATGATGAGTATGTCGTACATAAATTGTATACTTGCAGGCATGAATGAAAAAAATGCTAATCTTATTATAACCTACAAGTCGTTGACTTTTTTATTTTATTTCTAAACAAAAAAGGAAATACTTAAAAAACACTAGTGATGAATTGATTAGGCCATATCCTCTGGCTCTAGTAGCTTGATTGGGACATATCTGCAGGTTAATTAATATACTCACAACTACTGCATACTCCGTATTAGATAAGATAAGGAAAATAGGTGTTAAAATTCAATATTAGATCGAGTCATTCTCTTAGGCCAAATTACACTAAAGATTATGAGCCTAATTGATAATGATGAAATTGGTTAAATTGGATCAATCTACTGAAGTTTATGAAATTATAGCTGAAACCCCTGGATTTGCTTATTCTTTAAAAAATATTTTGTGATAAACTAAAAATATATTACATCCGTCCCAAAAAGATTGACCAATTTGACTTTTCTTGGTTAATGGTGTTAAAGTTTAGACAACAATTTTATGCATTATATTTGTGTGTAATTTATAAATTTTATAATTTTTTTTTCTCATTTTCATTTACCCCAGTGCCGCAAAGGCTCCCACCTACGGTGGGGTAAGGGGGGGTCAGATGTACGCAGTCTTACCCCTGTACTAAAGCACAGAGAGACTGTTTCCGGATGACCCATAGTGAAAATCGCGTCCAAAATTGCATGGACTGGCTGCTGCTTCATAACAAAGAAGCGCAGACAGTTTAGTGAGCCATTTTGCTTTATTCCATCATATTCTCAAGCCAAAAAATAATGAATCTTTGGCTCCATTGCAAATGATGGAAAAATAATTTTATAAATTTTATAATTTTATGAAATATTTTTTTTCGATAAAGAATACGCTCTTATAATTTTCATATTTTAAATAATTTTGTATTAAACAATATCATTGGTCAAACTTGAAAACCATTGATCAAAAAAAGTCAATTTGGCTAATCTTTTTGGGACCGAGAGAGTAAATATGGAAAGCTAACATATCTTCTGCCAAGTCTTCCGCAAAATTAACTTTACTTTTACTGTTTTTTATTACACAATATAACATGTGCTTAAAAGTTTTGTGTTTGATAAAAATGGACTAAGACTAATAAGTCCTATAAACTGAAAATGGGGTTGACAAACTGGCTTTATAGATTTTGTCAAAAAACTGGCTTTATAGATGTTTTCAGTTATAATCAACCTCACTTCTAATCAAATCAAACTGGATTGAATCAGATTTGTACAATGGCAAGATAAATGTAAAACAATATTTACCAAAATACTTGACCAAAACTACCTAGTCTAGAAAGGACCAAACCTGAAAATTTCATTCCAGAAAAGGTCCTTTAAATCTTATTAACATTTACCAAATCAGTAGTTGCTCTAAATCTTACTAACCCGTGATTTTCTCTTTTCGCAATGGATGTTGGAGTGTTGGACTACAGCGGCAGGAAATATAATAGTAACCCTAATTGGAAGGTGATTGACTTGAGTTTGAGACTAGGGCCTTGATTGAGTTGACAAAAACCTTTTCTTGGCAGTCTATTCATGTTTCATTAGTAGGAGTATGACTAAAATACGTGGTTGTTCTTAAAATATGACTAAACAGTTATTTATTCCTAATCTAATGGTGTTTTGCATGTATGATACGGAGTATGTGTTTTGATGTTATTTTGTCTCCCTTCAATTTAATTACTACTTATATATAGGCATCTTTAACTTTGGTAGTCATATATTAACAATTTATGAATGTTATATTCACATATAGATGAATTTCCCAGATTATTAATTTTCTTAATGATGCAGGGTTTCATCAATGTAGATGGGGTTACCACAATCTTTCTGTACTTGAAGACGTTGTTGACAGCTACGAGAGAGCAAAGATCCCTCTTGATGTGATATGGAATGATGATGATCACATGGATGGGAAGAAGATCTTCACACTCAACCCCGTAAACTATCCACGCCCCCAAACATTAGCATTCCTAGACAAGATTCATGCCCAAGGCATGAAATACATTGTCATTGTGGACCCCGGGATCGGCGTCAACAAAAGCTATGGAGTGTATCAAAGAGGGATAGCTAATGATGTTTTCATCAAATATATGGGCAAACCATATGTCGCCCAAGTCTGGCCTGGTGCAGTTAACTTCCCTGACTTCCTTAACCCAAAAACAGTTGATTGGTGGGTTGATGAAGTCCATAGATTCCATGATCTCTTACCCGTTGATGGGCTTTGGCTTGACATGAATGAAGTTTCCAACTTCTGCACCGGTTTGTGTACGCTACCAGAGGGCAGGATATGCCCAAATGGAACTGGTCCTGGTTGGATCTGTTGTCTGGATTGCAAGAACGTGACTAAAACCAAATGGGACTACCCACCTTACACAATAAATGCCTCTGGAATAGAAGCGCCTATAGGATACAAAACCATTGCCACGAGTGCCGTGCACCACAATGGAGTTTTGGAGTATGATGCCCACAGTATCTATGGTTTTTCTGAGACCGTTGCAACTCACAAAGGACTTGAGTCACTTCAAGGCAAGAGACCATTCATACTGACCCGTTCCACATTCGTTGGGTCAGGCCATTACGCTGCTCATTGGACAGGAGACAACAAGGCAACTTGGGATGATTTGAAGTATTCAATCTCAACAATGTTGGAATTCGGACTTTATGGAATACCCATGGTCGGTGCAGACATATGTGGGTTCTATCCACCACCCACGGAGGAGCTTTGCAACCGTTGGATCGAGCTCGGCGCGTTCTATCCATTCTCAAGAGATCACGCAAACTACTACTCCCCCCGACAGGAGCTTTATCAGTGGGCCACCGTGGCTGAATCCGGACGTAACGCTTTGGGTATGAGATATAAACTTCTACCATATCTCTACACACTGAGCTTCGAAGCTCATACGACTGGGGCTCCCATTGCCCGACCATTGTTCTTCTCTTTCCCAAACCTAACCGAGCTATATGGAGTGAGTACCCAATTCTTGTTGGGAAAAAGCGTCTTGGTCTCCCCCGTGCTTGAATCAGGTAAAACTGAAGTCAAAGCAGTTTTCCCTCCGGGAACTTGGTACAACATGTTTGATATGACGCAAGCCATAGTCATACCTGAAGAGACACAAGAAATCACACTAGATGCACCATTGCATGTGATCAATGTGCACGTGTACCAGAATACAATCGTTCCCATGCAACGCGGAGGATTAAGAACGAAAGACGCCCGGGCAACTCCATTCACGCTCGTCGTCACTTTCCCATTTGGGGCTTCTAAGGATTTTGCACAAGCACAGGGGATGTTGTTCCTTGACGATGACGAGCTGCCGGATATGACGCTTGGCAATGGGTACTCGACGTTGGTGCGTTTCTGTGCAGATGTACAAAATGGAATTGTGAATGTGTCTTCGGAGGTCTTGGAGAGCGAGTACGCATTAAGCATGGGGTGGGTGATAGAGAAGGTGACAGTGCTTGGGGTGAATCCTATGCGAGGAAGCTTTAAACTCAAAGTGGACGGGACCGAGGTTGAAGATACTTCAAATATGCTGTTTAGCGCAACGGAGCATGTGTATCATAAAGGGGCATTTGAAGGTGGACAAGGAGACGGTGTTAGTAAGAAGAATGTGAAGCTGGATATCAGTGGATTGGAGTTGCCTGTAGGGAAGAACTTCTGCATGTCATGGAGTGTGGAGATCGAAGCATGAATAATTTGTTCACAGGTTCTTGATGGAAAGGAAATGGGCTGAAAAATATTGGCCCATTCTTTCGGTTTTATAGGAAAAACATAATATGAGTTTGATTGTTTATGATGTTTGGCTTCTGGTCTTGGTTTTCATATGTGGTCTAGTCCAGTCAAGCTTTTTGGAACTATAAGTTTGGAAATCTATAAGTGAGTTGCTTATTTTACAAATGAAGTCATTCCACATTTCCACCCCAAAACTGTATCCATAACCTTGCTATTATTTCCAAGTTCCATCCCTATTTGCTGTTATATATAAAACAACATTGTGGTAATGATTAATTATATATTTATTTAATTAATTAGCATTTAGAATATTTTAACACATAAGGTCTATTTCAATACATGAAAGATGTCATTCGTATGTGTAATGTGTACACAAAGACGTTAGAACAATTAGATCATACATTCTCCCACATGGAATGTGTTCTAATGTTCCAATTAAATGATTTAGTTATCATCTATAAAATTTTAAATAAGAAGTGGAAATGTAATTGACAAAATATCTCCACATGGATTTTTTTAAACTTAGCAATGTCGACCTAATAAATCGTACCTAATTGAAATAAATAATTAAAAAAACTGTAAACTTTGATGATACCGATTTTGACTATGAAGATTGAGCCTTCTACTCCGTATATAATTGTGTAGAAACATTCCATGCGTGCCGGATAACGTGCACAACAGCACAAGTACTTCTGCATGTCTTGGAGTGTGCAAACGTATGGAGACAGCCTCATCTTCAGTATCATAATAATAACTACTCCCTCTGTCCCTAAATTTACTTCCATTTCACTTTTCGAGAGTCAACTTAAATCACTCTTAAACTCTTACTTTTTGTATCAAAACTTTATGAAAATTGATTTTTTTTGTGCAGGCTTTGTAGCGGGTTTAATGTAGTTTCTGAATATGTAAATTTTATTTACTAAAAATAATCCGAGTTTTCACAGGGATCATTTAACTTTATCGTCGGTCAACCTTCGTAATCCGCAATCGGAAGAACATTCAGGGACGGAGGGAGTAATAAGTAATGTCAATTGTTTTTTACTGAAACGATAAATTGTTGATAATTTATAAAACAAAGATACCGACTATGGAATCTTCACTGTTAGAGTATTAGGTATAAAAATTGGGAAAATGGTAATTAATATCCAATCTTTTAGACGTCTTAGTGCATATTCCGTGGGCACAAACCCCTTTCTTATAACTTTTCTACTATTTAAAAAAAAATTATAAAAGATTCTAATTGTATGTTTGGTAGGACAATTTATAAAAACTTTTTACAAAATAAAAGATCTTTTTTAGATGCTACAATAATAGGTGACATTTGGGAGAAAGTCAGTAGCTTTTAACATTAATTAGTCACAACAATTTGTTATATCAAACAGAACTAAATCAAACAGTCATCTTTTTATCAAACAACTACAACATTTTCCTTTTAAGATCTTTTCAATCATTAAAAACTAACAATTATTAAAAAATATTATAAAAGTAACTTCTCAAGTAGTTGTGCACTTGTGCCAAACTGTTGCAAAAAAAAACTTGTTGTGCCAAACATACTCCTATAATAGTCCCAATGTCCCTAATTAGTTAATGACTTGCAATACCATGTTATAATCTTTTCTTTGCAAAACGTTAAGTGCATGTTTGCTAGTCATAAGTCCATACCTTCTAACTTTTCTACTGTTTCAAAAGACTCTAAAATCTTATAGTTGTATGTTTGTCACGACAATTTATAAGTTTTTTTAAAAATAATTTTTTTTAGATGCTACAGTAAGTAGCATCTGATAAAAGTCTGTAGTTTTTAATTAATTAGTCTCAACAACTTGTATACCGAACATAACTAAATCAAACAGTCAGCTTTTTATCAAATAGCTACTGCCTTTTACTTTAAAATCTTTTCAGTCACTAAAAGTTAATAGTTACTAAAAAGTCTATAAAAGTATCTTTTCAGCTAGTTATGTCAAACATATTCTAAACTAAAAATTCTACCTTTCACAAATAAAATGTAATGCAAAAGTGAGGTTATTTTCATATTATGATTAGATGAGACAATTATACGAAGACCGGTAAATTGTTGAATTATTAGTTTTCATTTTCCCTATTATATAAACCGAAAAGAGGGTTTTTTCACAAATACTACTAAGATAAAACTTATAAGTAGTTTCATTGTGTATCCGTGGGGTCGTTTCTCACAGACGGTGCCGGTGTTGAGATTTATTCCTCTAGGTCCAAAGGTCCGACACTTTCCCTTAGGCCATCGTTGGATATTTTAGTGAGTCGGATATGCTTTAGTGAATTAGTTAATTGTTTTAACTTTTAAGGCACAAGTACTAGGAAAAAGGACAAGTAAGTGGGTCGAGTTCTATCAAGTATTGAAAATAATTACAACACACTCTACCAAGCCGAGCGAAATTGGGATTACATAAGAAGTAGAGAGAAAGACTTAAGCTAGTGAGTACAAGTTGTCAGCCCTAACAATGAAATAAATGCCTACTTATGTTCTTCCAACCACTAAATCTTGCATATCTGATGGATTAAATGGGGGTTCTTACCAAAATCTTTGCTTTCCTGCCAACCAGACTGAGCCTGGGCTAAGCCGAACAGTGTTTGGGCCTTAATAGGTCTTTGGCTCCATTCCTTTGCGCGGGGGGGGGGGGGGGGTACGGGTTCGGTTCTGTATTGGACCAATTACCCCAACTAGGGCTGTGCATTAACCGGGTCGGACCGTATTTTAGACCTGAACCGGACCGGAATGGACCGGTCCGGACCGAACCGGTATAAACCGGTCCGGGTTTCGGTCCTTAGTTTTGTAAGATTCCGGGTTCCGGTCCGGGTCAAACCCGGAAAAAACAGGTCCGGACCGGAATGGACCGGTAACCTATTTTCCTGTAAAATATATACTTGGTTTTGTATCATTAGTCATTATGTTTATGACTTATTTTTGTCTTTTATTATATAAACGAATATATACGGAGTTTATATTTGGTGTCTAATTATTTCCTAAGTTGTTTTTTATTTATTTATTTATGTGATTTTTCTGCTTTGTATTTGTTTCTTTATTTGCAGGTGCACATGTAGTTTATACGTAGTATATTTTTGGACATAATTTAGTTTTTATTACTTTATAATAGATTTTGCATTTTAATATACACAAAAGATTGTAGTTTTAATTATTGTGGGAAACTAATTGTTACAATTGAATAGTTTTGATAACTATATTCCAAAATTAATAAATGAGCTAGACAAACAATTATTTAGTCTATTTAGCATATCCGCACATAAAATTATAATTTAGAACAACAACATCCAAGCCTTATTCCAAAAACAATTTGGGACCAACTAAGAACACTCTAAGATAATATTTATTTTTTAAAACCGGGTCAATTAGGGTCAAAACCGGACCAGACCGGAAAATTCAGGTCCGGACCGGTCCGAACCGGTTAGATTCAGGTCCGGTCTTCGGTCCAAAGAAAATGATGATTCCGGTTCCGGTCCTAACCGGTTCCGGTCCGGTCCGGTCCGGTCCGGTTTTGGACCGGTGCACACCCCTAACCCCAACACTAAACATAACCAAAAGTCACTATATCATTGTGTTATGATCACTGAAATGTACGAAGTAATAATTAAACTGAAGTTACTAGGACTAAAATTACTACTACAATCATTATATCTAAAAGTTACATTTTTTATAATCAAAATTTATTACAATCATAAATATATAATTATTTCGGTAAAAATGTAATACCAAGTATAATGTTTAAACATTTGTTTAAATTAATATAGTGTGTCATTGCCTTTGAAAAGAACGTACAAAGTTTAAACAATGACCTCAACCCTCTGCCCATAAATACAATCCCCAAATATACTAAAGGGTTCAAGTGCATCTCTTTTCACTTGACCACACTATGGGCTTCACCTTTCCACCATTCTCTCCTTCGGCTATTCGTCTTTCTTTAGTCTTGAGTCTATGTTTATATAGTGTTGATTGTGTGTACACAACACCAACCAAGATTGGCCAAGGATATCGTTTGGTCTCCCTTACAGAGTCTTCTGATGGTGCCCTTGTGGGAGACCTTCTAGTCAACAAGCCAAACACTATCTATGGCCCTGATATTCCTCATTTGAAGCTCTATGTAAAGTAAGTCATCTTCCAATATTTCTCCTTTTCTTGTCATTGTTTTACCATTCTTGAAGAAAGATTGAGTCTTTTTTTTTGGATTGGCAGACATGAAACAGACAAGTCCCTGAGGGTTCACATTACAGATGCAGATAAGCAGAGATGGGAAGTCCCATATGAGCTATTACCTAGAGAAAAGCCTCCATCTTTGAAACAAATATTTGGTGTTAGTTCAAGAAGCAAGGCTTCTCCATTTGCAGTGTCAGAATATCCTGGAGATGAACTTATCTTTACCTATACCTATGATCCTTTTAGCTTTTCTGTGAAAAGAAAATCAAATGGAGACACCCTTTTCAATTCCAGTTCAGATACATCCGACCCATATAACAGATTGGTTTTCAAAGACCAGTACCTAGAGATATCCACCAAATTACCACAGAATGCCTCTCTCTATGGACTTGGGGAGAGCACAAAGCCACATGGGATTAAGCTCAACCCATATGATCCTCACACCATCTACAACACTGACCAGTCTGCCATTAGACTTAACATTGACTTGTATGGGTCCCACCCCATGTACATGGACCTCAGGAATAAGGGTGGAAATGCTTATGCCCATGCAGTCCTCTTGCTGAACAGCAATGGGATGGATGTGCAATACACTGGGACTTCTTTGACATACAAAGTGATTGGGGGTGTTTTAGACTTTTACTTCTTTGCAGGCCCCACTCCTCTAGATGTTGTTGAGCAATACACTGCATTCATAGGCAGGCCAGCTGCAATGCCTTACTGGTCCTTAGGTAAGTTTTACATCTTCACATTACCTTTTCTGTACATTCTTTCTATACGGCTAGTCATTATGGTATCCTGACATGTGTAATTTAAATTGGTACAATCTTGTTGGAAAACTAATAACAGAGGAAACATTTACATATTTTAATAATATATTTTAATAAAATGGGCCATTGGCCAACCTACAATTGGACAACACCTGACTGAACCTACTTCAGACTATTATGATAAGGAAAATTACATTTGTAGACAAAATCAGAGCAAAAATTATACACAACTCCCTAGTTGTCTAAGTACACAAGCAATTGGTTTGATTTGGCAAAAATTAGAGCAAGAATTTTATGTCAAAACGCCCAGAATGATTTGGCAATAATGATTGTTTAAAATTACTTTAACCTCCCACAGTGACCGAAAGCATGCGAAAGTTGCAAAAGGATTGTGTGAAAAGATTAAACTGTTAGCCTGAATCCTGGCGTGATTACGACTTAATTAAATATGTTAGGCACTCACTAACATCTTGATCATATAAAGATGTTAGTCAATTAAATTAAGGATGCTAGTCATTTAAGTATCCTAATTAAACAATACTTCTTGATTGTTAGTCCTTCACACTCATTTGAATGATGTTGATGTAGTACATAAATTGTATACTTTCAAGTATGAATGAAAAATATAGTGTTTATCTTATTATATTATACGATAGTATAATCTACCAACATCTACTTTTTTTCTTGTCAAAAGTGCAAATTTTTTATTTTGGAACAAAATAAGAAAATACTTGAAATCTTGCAAAAAAAAAAAAAGAAAATACTTGAAATGATAAATAATCCCCAATCCAGGAGTAAACATGATGAAAAGGCAACAACTGGTGTAGTTTAAAATTCTCAAAATAGGGAAAGCGTATACCATACAGCCGGTTGTACGGCTGACACCGTACAGCCGGTGACATTTTTGTAAATTTGATGAAGTTCATGGTTTCTCTTAAATGAGCATTGATGTAATTTAGATGAGCATCGAGTTTGTTCTTCTGAGTATTAGAAGCCTAACAATGAGCACCAATGATCTCTGCTTCATATCTTCTAATTTAGTTTCTTTTTATTAATTTCCATTTATAAAAAATTCTTAAATTGTGTTTATAATTAATTTCAATATGCCAATCTAATGTAGTATGATATGTTTGATATGTGCATCATTTTAAAATGAGCATAAACCAGTACTAAATGAGCATACATAATTTACAAAATGAGTATAAAAAAATTCAAAAGCTCATTTGTGTATGCACATTGATTTTGGACGTTATATTTGATATGTGCATCATTTTAAATGAGCAAAAAACAGTACCAAATGAGCATACATAATTTACAAAATGAGTATAAAAAATTCAAAAGCTCATTTGTGTATGCTGATTGATTTTGGACGTTATACTAATTTAAATTTAACATAAAACACATTTTTATTGTGTTTAATATTCAGTTGTGTATGTTCATGTCTTTCAGGCGTATACTCATCTACGTTTAATATAAAACTCAGTTTTAATGTGCTTAATGTTCAGTTGTGTATTTTCATTTCTTTTATGTGAATACTCATTTGAGTTTAAAATAAAACTCATTTGAGATGAATAGCAGTAGGGATTCCTTTGTCTGCGGTAGGCTCCCTATGTCTTCCAAAATCACAATCTCAAATACCAAAATTGAATAAGAAAAAGAGAAGAAAAGAAAAGAGTGAAAAGAAAGACAGAGGGAGGACCTGTTGTGTCCGTTCTAGAGGAGAAGGAGATGAGCGGTGAGAGGCAACGACGAGCAACGACCTTGAAGAGAAAGAGATGAGTGGTGAGCGTATAATCAACCAGGTGCGAAGCCAGATCGAAGAACCAGACGAGATCTGAAGCTGGTGCAAAGCTGGGTGCGAAGTCGAGGAAGAAGGCCAGAGCGAGATCGATCGAAGAAGAAGAAGCACAGAGCCAAAAAAGGGCCGGCTGTACCGTGTGCACGGTACAGCCGGCCGTACAATGTATTTTACGCCACTTTGAACGTATTGACCTTGCCACTTTGAACTACCCATTGCTACATTAGTGCCACCATTGGTCACCAAGCTCCGCCACCGCCACCGACATGCATGATTTCTGCCGTTGACAGATTACTGTCGGTTGCTGCAGTCACCGACATGCCAGATTTCCCTCACCGACAAACTGCTACTAGTCGCCACTACTAGTCTACCTGCTGCCGCCTCTACCACCAACGAGCTGACCCGCCACCAACAGACTGACACGGGGATTAATTACATTAATTGATTAGATTAGGAGTATTACGGGTAGAAAATTAATGTTTACTCCTATTTAGGAAAGAATAGGGATAGACTTCTATTTTGAGAAAAGTGGTACTACCTTCGTCGCATAAAACTGATCAACTTTCCTTTTTTAGTCGTCCAAAAAAACTTTGTCATTCCCATTTAAAAAAACAAATATGCCGCAAAATTTATTTCTCTCTTTTCTGCACAAATATCAATCATACAGTTTTTACTTTATTATTCTAAGTTCAAATCAACTTTGACCAAATTTTATAGGATGGGGGAGTACGTTTTACTCTGGACAATTAATTACTTTTGAACTAAACACTAGTGATGACTGGATTGTGTAATATCCTCATGCAGACTGGTTGGGAAATAGTTGCGGTTATTTATTAACAAAATTTCCTTAAATAGGAGTAGAAATGTTTATGTAGTTCAAATAAGATTGTGACGATTTTATTTCCTAAAAATGAGTAATTACTCCATGTTTTGGCAGTACCGAAAATTAAGCAGGACAATACTTTTGAAGCTTGATAGTAATTACTCTTATTTAGAGAATAAAAATGTAACAATTTTATTTTAGAATTCTAAATTCTCTTAGTATTATTTACTAACCATAATAATAGACATTGTTTTTATAGATATTGCTGTCATTAAAAGTATCATTAATAAACCAATGCATATTTATGAAATATCCATTACATTATTTTTAACTATTACATCAATCAATAATAATTGTAATGTTTAATACTCCGTATATAAATAATAAATATTATGTTCTCATGCTTTTCATCTAATTCCAAACCCATCTTTAATTTTATCAATTTTTTTATATTGGCATATCAATTTTCGATTTAATCATATAACCATTATGAAATTTTGAATCAGATTAATTTTCTACCATACAACTTTAATCTAATATATAATTTGAAATATTTTATATTTTATTTTTCAATAGATATTGACCAGGTTGACCCGGCGTTGACCGGGCTGACCCTCCCGGATCCGGGTTTACCCGTGACCCGGTTGCTTGATCGGGTTGTCTCCCGATCCCATTTTGACAACATAGGTTTAAAAGTTTTTTATAGGAATATTATTAAAAATGAAAAGATGCGCAAATAAAAAAACACTCATAACCTTCCATCAATTTCGTAGGAGTACGAAAAAGCTAACATAGTTCTCATCACCCAATTCACCCCCAAAATTAACTTCACTCATAACCCACCATCAATTTCTTCTTTTTGAGACTGAAGTCTCGATTGAGTTGACAAAAATCATTTTCTCAATTCATTCTATTCATGCCATTTGTTTGTTGTTTTGACTTCAGAATCTGGTGATTCTCAGTGCTTATTAGTATATTACTAATTCTCTAAATGATGCAGGGTTTCATCAATGTAGATGGGGATACCACAATCTATCTATACTTGAAGACGTTGTTGACAATTACCAGAAAGCAAAGATCCCTCTGGATGTGATATGGAATGATGATGATCACATGGACGGGAAGAAGATCTTCACACTCAACCCCGTAAACTATCCCCGCCCCCAAACACTGGCCTTCCTAGACAAGATTCATGCCCAAGGCATGAAATACATTGTCATTGTAGACCCCGGGATCAGCGTCAATAACAGTTATGGAGTGTACCAAAGAGGGAAAGCCAATGATGTTTTCATCAAGTATATGGGCAAACCGTATGTCGCCCAAGTCTGGCCCGGTGCGGTTAACTTCCCCGACTTCCTTAACCCGAAAACTGTTCAATGGTGGGTTGATGAAATCCATAGATTCCATGATCTTTTACCCGTTGATGGGCTTTGGCTCGACATGAATGAAGTTTCCAACTTCTGCACTGGTTTGTGTACTCTACCTGAGGGAAGGATATGCCCGAATGGAACTGGAACTCGACCGGTTTGGACCTGTTGTCTTGACTGCAAGAATGTGCCCAAAACCAAATGGGACTACCCGCCTTACAGGATAAATGCCTCTGGAATAGAAGCGCCTTTAGGATACAAAACCATTGCGACGAGTGTTGTGCACCATGATGGAGTTTTGGAGTATGATGCCCACAGTATCTATGGTTTCTCTGAGACCATCGCCACTCACAAAGGACTTGGGTTGCTCGAGGGAAACAGACCATTCGTATTGACCCGATCCACATTCGTCGGGTCAGGCCATTACGCTGCTCACTGGACAGGAGACAACAGGGCAACTTGGGATGATTTGAAGTACTCAATCTCAACAATGTTGGAATTTGGACTTTATGGAATACCTATGGTTGGTGCAGACATATGCGGGTTCTATCCACCACCCTCGGAAGAGCTTTGCAACCGTTGGATCGAGCTCGGTGCATTCTATCCATTCTCACGGGCTCACTCCAGCTACCTCTCTCCTCGACAGGAGCTTTATCAGTGGGCAACTGTGGCTGAATCCGGACGTAATGCTTTAGGCATGAGATATAAACTTCTCCCGTATCTCTACACACTGAGCTACAATGCGCATTCGAGCGGGGCACCCATTGCTCGACCATTGTTCTTCTCTTTCCCAAACTTAACCGAGCTATATGGATTGAGCACCCAGTTCTTGTTGGGAAAGAGCGTCTTGGTCTCGCCCGTGCTTGAACCGGGCAAGACCGAAGTCAAAGCAATTTTCCCTCCCGGGACTTGGTACAACATGTTTGATATGACACAAGCCATAGTCATACCTGAAGAGACACAGGAAATCACGCTCGACGCGCCATTGCATGTGATCAACGTGCACCTGTACCAGAACACAATCATTCCGATGCAACGCGGAGGATTAACGACTAAAGAAGCCCGAGCAACCCCATTTACAGTCGTTGTCGCTTTCCCGTTGGGCACTTTTGATGATTTTGCATACGCGGAGGGGACATTGTTCCTTGACAGGGATGAAATGCCAGAAATGACGATTACCCCCTGGGACTCGACATTGGTTCATTTTTGTGCAAATGTACAAAATGGAACAGTGAGTGTGACTTCGGTGGTTCTCGAGCGCGAATATGCGTTAAGCATGGGGTGGGTGATAGAGAAGGTTATAGTGCTCGGGGTGAATCCTATGCGAGGGAGCTTTAGGCTCGAAGTGGACGAGACAGAGGTTAAAGATACTTCAAATGTGAAGTTCAGCGCAACCGAGCATACATATCATAAAGGGGTAGTCGAAGGCGGAGAAGGCGATGGAGGCATGAAGAAGAATGTGATGGTGGAGATAAGTGGTTTGGAATTGCGTGTAGGGAAAAACTTCTGCATGACATGGAGTTTGGAGATCAAAGCATAAAGAGATTGTTCACATGTTCTTGATGGAAAGGAAATGGGCTGAAAGAGATTGCCCCATTCTTTAAGTTTTATATGAAACGAATAATACAGAGAATGAGTTTTATTGTTAAAATTTTTGGCTTCTGGTGTTGGTTTTCATAGGTGTGCTCTAGTCTAGTCATCAAGCTCTATCGGAATTATAAGTTCGGAATTTATTGTTCAAATTTTTGGCCTCTGGTGTTGTTCCTTATTTTACAAATGAACTCGTTCCTTACCAAAACTGTAGCCCTAATCTGGTTCTTATAACTACTATTATATGATGATGGCTATTCCTTCTATTACTTTATGATGATTTAGGTAGACAATTAGAACTAATCATGGTCATTTATCTTACAAAGTTGAAGTTGATAAAGCAAATTGTGGCGACACTTTTTAAATATTTAACATTCTAACTTATGAAAGTGCATCGTTCTATATAAATGGTGTATTAAGTCAAGTGCAACCTTTTCCGTCAATAAATCGAATTTCTTGCCAGTTTAGACATATTCATTATACATTATTTAACGAACAAAGTTTTTTTAATTATATACTTTTTTTTTTTTACTCCAGGAGGCTTCTAGGGGAGGGGGCTGGGGGGAGCCTGGAGTAATCTAGGCTGAAACTCAGCCCATTGAGTTTCGAACCTGAGACCTCCCGTAAGGGAGAGTGAGTCGGCGACCAGCTGGGCTGGACTGCTTCCTCTAATTATATACTTACTTTTATTACTATACATAATTTTTTTGCAATTTTTTTTTGTAAATAATTATGATTTAAAATGTCAAACATTCTGATGTATAAATAAGTAAATCTGGAGTTAATATTTATTGTTGTTACTTTAGACTTATTTTTGGGAAAAAAAATATAGAAAGATGTAAAAAAAACTATGTATATATTTTTAAAACTACGTAAATCTTAATTAAATGAAAACTGTATATATTTTTGAAATTTATATATGTAATAATTGTGTCACATGAAAGATCATAAAAGTTATGGATTTTGATTCATTTTTTATTATTATAAACAACAAAGTAGAGGAAAGTTTTGATTATTCAATATAAGCCACCGTTTTCCAAAAAATAAATAAATAAATAAATAAATAAATAAATAAATAAGTATAAGTATGTATGTATATATGTGTGTATTAAATGTACCGGGACGAGCTTAGCGGCCCGAACTAGTCTACACCCTATGTCAAGCCCATACATACGTTATTGCGAGCTGGGCCCGGACCAACCTAGTGGGCAAATATATATGTCCAATCAAGGCCAGTCCAATGTAAACAGGGGCCTTGTTCAATAGATTTATCTGACCTTTCTAATGCAAGTCCAAGTATAACTCATCATTAAGATAAACCATTATGTAGTAACTATTTAGTAGTCATAATATAATAATTACTCAACCGTAGACATATGATACAATCACTTATAATGATATACAGAGTATATTTAGAATATACATCCAAGGGGTGAGATCACATACAAACTAGTCCTCTCATGCTAACCTACAAACGGTCACAAACTGTACATCTTTACATTATGTGTACTGCATATCATATTGAAGTTCAAAGTGCTGCATATTATTTGTATTGCGTATTAAATTTCAAAGTACTGCATATTATTTGTATTGCATATTGAAATTCACAGTGTGCATCTTTACATTATTTGTACTGCATATTAAAGTTCAAAGTGTTGCATATTATTGAGTTTGTAGGTTAGTATTTTAAGCATTGTTTGTATTTGATCTCTTATCATATATCCAATTTGGGGTGATGTAATATAATACTAAAGGGATATATAACGAATTATGAAAAAAAATGGGCTTCAAGATTTTGGAAGTATGTGCGGTCAGACATGCATGTTAGACATGCCCAGGGCCGGCCCCTATGTTCAAGCCCGCCTATTTATAAGGGCGGGCTAGGCAGATCGAACGGGTCAGCCCATGTTTTAGGCAGGTCTACATGCATCAAAGTATTAACAACTTTTATTCAAATACTTTGTTCTCAACTACATATGAATTATTAGGTCGAGAGTGCTACGTTTTTAAGAAAAAACGGATATTTACTTCGTAAAGATTTTTCTACCAATAAGTGGCACAAATTACTTATTAGAGATTTTTCCTAAAATATTACCAATAAAAAATCTATGGATAAAGATGTGACTATAAGTTACTATGTGTAAGTTTTATTGTCTATAATGTAACATTTGAATAGTTACTAAATTTATCATGGTCACATTTCTGTCTACTACTTTTATTTTGGTCATATATTTGAAATTATTTCTACTTTTTAATTACCAATTTGATGCCAAAATAGCCCAATTAGGGCTTTACAACATATAAGTATATAATTAAGACATATTGCCATGCAAATGTATAGAAATCGTAAATTATATGGTACAATCCGGTATTTCAATTCAACTTATATTTAATGAGTATATAGTTAAAATAAAATGAGTATTAATAATTAAATTAGAAAATTAGTACATAAAAAACTTTTATGATAATACAATGATTTGTGGAGTAGCATATATATTACGTGTAAATTATGATACTCATTCACACACTTCTAATACTCAGTTGTGCTACCAATACACTGATTTAATAGTAATGCCCATGTCTTTTAAAGGTGACACTCATTACGTGTAAGATAAAATATATGGTTGTGCGGTGAGCTACGTACAACCCGGTTCTGGGTGTACGGTATAGGTTCTCTATAGAGATAGCCTCATCTTCACTATCATAGTCAGCAACGTCAAATTGTGTTTTTTCTTGAATATAAATGATCGACTTTTATATTAAAATCGAGAAAAGAAACAAGATAACATCCAGACAGTTATTACAGATCAGATCCGATTGTGAGCCCTGGGAATAGACATAGAATCAGCCACCTCAAACAAATTAACCTGACTTGCTAGACATGAGACGAGCATTTTAAAGCCTAAAACAATCGGGATTGAAATACTGCCAATCAATCATATATTATGACAGAAGTCCAAATTTCCAAACCAAAACTACTGAAACTAAAATAAAAACAAGTACTACTAATGGAAAAATAAAATTGAAATAAAGTATTTCCACAAAACTCTTCATGACGCGGAGGTGGTTCCGGAGGAGGATGGGCTCTACTAGTGTCTACGCACTCTAGAAGAAAGCGGACAGAAACCCCTACCCAAACGAAGCTAGCTGGGACACCAACAAAACTCTCCACATCGAGAGAGACAAACCACCTTGGAGCATTAGTAATCGGGAAAGAACCACCATAGAACAAAATCAACACAACTAGAAGAGAATACCAATCCAATTGAGAAGACCAAAGCTAATGGGAGAAAGCTAATGAAGAGGTTGGCCCTTGAACTGATCGTGCTTCAATCGTTGCGGTGTTAGGGTTGGTGCATGAACGCTCCTTGGCCTTCCTCTATCAGCGTCCCGATTGGCCTATCTCAAATTGTTGATAATTTTTAAAACAAAAAAATAGTGACTATTAGGTATATATAATTTGTGATGGTCCCAAGTGAGGTAAAACTCTAGAGGAGTGGGGGTGAATAGACTTTTAAATCTTTTCATTTTTCAGCCCTTTTTCCTCTAACAGAATGAGTTCCAATATCTTTTGGGAGACATTGAAACTTACAGCGAAAGTCTTAACCTCAATGGTGTGACACTTCATAGTAACAAAGGTTATGACCCTTGTAGTTATGAGAGAGATGAAGTTAACACGATACAAACATGTTTGCCAAAATTACCAGACTCGTGGAGCAGGCTGTCGAAACCTTAAGGAGCAGACTGCCAGATTTACTGGGAGCTGGCTGCTAAACCCTTTAGGAGCAGGCTGCCGAAGGAGGCTACTGCTTCAATGTTTAAGATACAGCAAGGAAATGTAATCTAACGCATTGATAGGCTTTTAGAACAGGCTTAACACATAAGTATGAAGGATTTAGACCTATAAGGATAGATCACTTTGATGCACAGAAACAAGAAATTTGATTCACAGTGGACGGGAAGGTTCACTGGCCAGTTTAGCGAGCAAGCTGTTTTCTTGGGAAGTTGTGAAGGTGAGTGAGAACTGTAGTGTGTATTGGGAGCTGAATATATAAGATGACATAAGATATATCCTGGTTCCGAGGTGGTGTAATCCTCCTACCATCCAGTCCCAACCTATTTCAGATGGATTTCCACTAAATGAATATCTCATTACATTTAATGCCCAATCTATCCTTGGCCCATGCATAGATTATGAGGTTTTTCACAAGGAATTTGAACATCATTCCAAGCTACTCAGTCCTCCACGATTTTTCACTAATGGCAATGACTTGCCAGAAGCTACTCATGTCCTTATCCTTCTCACCTTCTGGATTTGAGCACAAAGCCCTCCAGAATGTCTAACATTAATCTAGTTTACTTGGGTGAAAACTAAACTGTATACCTACTAATCTAAGCTATATAGATTTGTATGAATTTGAGCTAGTCTAAGAGCATTAGATGAGTGGGGTGGAAACCGAAGTGGTGAACGGGAATCACTTGTTTGCTTGATGTGTTCGTGTGAATCTTGATTCCCTTCTATTCCACTTGGCTTCTCCATTTGTTCTTCCCGCACTCCTTCTGTATTTATAGACTTGGTTGTTGAAGCTCCATCGTTGGCTGAGGAGTTCAATCTTGACTGTTGCTTGATCAACTTGCTTTGTTCCACTTGATTGAGGAGAGCATGCATGGTTGGTCTTTGTCTTCTTGTGACACGGATCAAATCTTCACTCAACTTGTTTTCCTCATTTCAAGGCAAAGATAAAGATGATATCTTTAATCCTTTTTGTTCGAAGAATTGAGTATACAAGCCGAGTGTTGTTAAATGCTTCCTTACAATAAAATCACTTTCTTTTAGTAAAATAAATTTATAAGAAATTTTCTTAAGGTGGTAAAAACTTCTTATAAAATTACTTTCTATCTTTTTGACATTTTGACTGCAAGTTGGTCTTTTGTTTAATTGTATTTGTGCTAAGAGAAGAGTTAGTCAGTTTCGATTGCCTTGCCTGGGAAACTGGGGTAGGAGCCGGCTGAAAAGTTTTCAGCAGGCTACTGATCTCGTTTTTCCAAATGGCTGCCGATTTCACAAGGTGTTCCAGTTGACTTTTTTCGCACCTTTTCTTTTTTATTCTTTTCTTTTTGTTTTTGGTACGTTTTTTCTCTCTGTTGAGTAATCTTTGCTTTTCTTGAGTACTTTATCACTAATAAAGAAGCACATTACATTAAACATAGTAGAACAAATACAAGAGAATCTAGTCTAATACAGGGATAAAAAGGGGTTTGACATCATCAA